GGAGATGTTTAACTTCTGGTTTTATTTGTTGTTCATGGTGTCAGAATATATCATGTTTTTTATCATTTCTACATGAATTATCATTACGATGAACACGGTTTTTCCACCTCTATGAGTAAAATATTATAACATATAATGTTGTCGATACATTAAAGTAATTATTGAAGGCTAAGTTTCTCACTATTGAAGCTTAGGTATTTCATAATCCAGTTTAATCGCAGATTTTAAAGTTGGATAGTTCGAAAACTGTAATCGAATCATGTTTTAACACATGTTAGGTATCTGAGGTAATATATGAGAGATAATTTCAAAAAATGAAAAATTCCTTTCTTTTGCGACGTAGCCTTGTTTATTTATCGAGAAAGAAGAACTATAAGCACGAAAACATCTCGGATTTTCTTAAACTCGCCGAGAAGTATTTATAGCCAGAAGATGAAATCGAAAGCTCGGAAATAGTTGGAGTACTTCTCTCGTTCTTAGTTTTCGCTTGGACTAGCAGTGACAAAAACAATTTTTGAAACGAAACTCTATTATGATTTCTCATTTCGTTGCGGCAACAGATGTTAATGAATACGAATGGAGAAGGAGAATAAAAAGAAGCAGCAAAGATGATGCTGTTCGACACTTCTGTTATAAAGCAATTATATTGATAATCATGTACATTTTCACTATATAGATGCTTTTGCCATAAAATGTTCACATGAAAGACTTTCGAAAACTTAATTTTAACTAAATTTCACCAACCTCACTCCAACAAAAATAGTTTCTAATTCTGGGCAACAGAGTCCATCGTGTTCAAAATTTTTGAATCTGAATCCGGACCGAAATTGTACTCTTAATGCTCTCAATGAAGTTATCGTATCTGACTACGATAGTTGCGCCCAAGCTACGAAATGCTTTTCTCGATTATCTGTTTTTTCTCAGACAATCTTGACGGTTGTCTTTTGATAATCGAGTTAAAATCAGCTCTTATTTTTAGCTGGAACACGTTGGGGTGCACATTTTCAGGACTGCATTCACATCCGTTGAAATTTGGAACCGATCCGATGAATTCTACTGAGCAAATCTGATTTGATGCGTTATAGCGTTTTCCGGGAAATTCATTTTTGCTACAGCCGTAAGAAAGGGTATAGCGGACTTCAGATTTGACTGCCATAATGGACATAATGGACATAATCGCCATTATGCACTTTAGATTTGACTGCCATAATGGACATAATCGCCATTATGGACTGTAGATTTCAGCGCCATAATGGACATAATCGCCATTATGCACTTTAGGTTTGACTGCCCTAATGCACTTAATGGACATAATGGACATAATCGCCATTATGGACTTTAGATTTAACTGCCATAATGGACTTAATGGACATAATCGCCATTATGGACTTTAGATTTGACTACCATAATGGACATAATGGACATAATCGCCATTATGGACTTTAGATTTGACTGCCATAATGGACATAATGGACATAATTGCTATTATGGACTGTAGATTTCAGCGCCAAAATGGACATAATCGCCATTATGAACTTTAGGTTTGACTGCCATAATGGAAATAATGGACATAATCGACATTATGGACTTTAGGTTTGACTGCCATAATGGACATAATGGACATAATCGCCATTATGGACTTTAGATTTG